CAGGTGAGTCAGAGCCGAGTGCAGTCCTAAATATAGTAGGATACCGGGAAAATGATGTTTGGAGATTCTCTACACATAAAAATCTCTCTGACCAGTGCAATCTGACCTATGACCCAAGGAGGTGGATTTTCCTTTCATTTCAACAGTCTATCAGACTTTCAGAAGGAGCCAGGAAGACAGGAAGATTGACGGAGACAAAGAAAGACAGAGGAGGCACTTGGAAGCAGAATGAGTGATGAAAGAAAGAGAGACGCGTTATGTACACTGGCTCGAAGTGAATGACGACTGCTGAAATAATCTGTTTAACAGCTATTCCAAACATTTCATTTCCAAACAAAACACTCCCACAATGCCGCATCCAGACAGAGAGAAATCACCACTGCAGGCTCTTACGCATGTGCTCGTTTCAGAAAGCGCCTTCAAATCAAAGAAAAATGATCTTTTTTCATAGTGAAACATAATTGGGAAATAGTCATTATTACTAAAAAAAAAGTATTATTTACAGAAAACAAGAAACAACAAGACTGTGTAATAATAAGTTATTCAAACAATACAAAAAAATCATAATATATATAGTAGAATAAATAATTTAGCAGAAAACAATAAATGCTCTAGTCTAGCAAACACACATTTTCATGAAAAATTGTCTTCTTAAATTTAACAGCCATTTAAAGAGCAGCAGTTATTAAACACATGAAATGGCATAAAACACATTGTTCACACCTCTTTAATGGTTAAATATCAAATTTCCTGTGTGGAGTGCTGAAGCAGGGAAAAGTTTCAATGATATTCTCATAATAACGATATATTAGCAGCACTAACAATACAACCCTGGATATAAAATTAATATTCTCTTTAGCCAAAAGCCACTTCCCTCCATTAGGATGACTTTCCCCATAATCACCAATCTTAATGGAAACACATTTAAAACACATTTACCTCCAATACACCTGGACTATTACTTAGGGTCTTAAATAAACTATTCATTTCGCACTTCATTCTAAGACAAAAATAAGCCTAAATTTAGTGGAACATTTTCGAGTCAGATCCCAAAAACCTGTTAAGCACAGGGTAGCGGTTTAAGATTTGGGCCTGGGTTCAAACTCTGACAAGTCTCACTAGCAAGTTAACATACGATGCAGACGTAAGTGTTTAATAACAAATAAAAAGTCTGACTCTCCAGCAACCTATCACTATAATAATAAGGGGAAAAAATGTTTTAGGTTAGTGAAGTATTGAACAAAAACTTTTTAAGTGAACGGTTTTAAAATGGCAAGAGAGAGAGAGAGATGGAAAAGAGAGACTGAAAAAAAAGTGTCCAGAGTTCATACACACACACACACACACACCCATCCTCCCGCACCAAAGGCATTGCAATAGTGCCAACTAGAGCAATTACTGTAGCGACTCCCGAAGCTGTCCCTTCTCTTGTTCTTTCCTTGCTTTCTTATGGACACAAAAGAGGAATCCTCGATTTGAGTGTGTGACAATGAAGGCCACATTTAATAATGATAAACAAAGAGTTTGTGCTGCGAATAAACAATCACAAGGACAAAATAAACACAAAGCAACACAAACAAATTAAATACACAGCTGAACCATAGCATTCAATACAAAGAATGCAGATTTTCTTTTGGCACGCACAACAAATACCTGATTTCAACCTTCAGGCCATTTCAAATTAGGTTTCAAATTGTGGTTTTAGTATTGAATGCACAATTTAAATCAAGAATAAAATTAATATGATAACTGTAAAATGCGCTCAACCAGAGCAACGCATGGAGACTGTGTGCATCTTGAGAAAGGCCCCCTGAGCTCTGGCACGGGATGCCACGGGCCCCGGGATTCTGCACGGCTGCCCTGCAGGGTGCCAGTCTCCGCCGGGGCTATTTGGAGCCTGATAAAAGCGGCAGTGCACACTGGAATTAGCCTGATAAGATAAGACCGCAGTACAGCAGAAAACATTCTGAACGGGCAGCGCGATGGCCAGCCCTGCTGGGCACAGAGTAAACCAGTGCGTACGCTGAACGAGAGCCTGAAAGCTTTCAATTATGCTGCTAATATTTTGTTAATGGCTGTTGTAATGTTTTTAACTGAAAAAAGGCCAGCTCTTTTAAATTTTGTTATAAAATTGTGGTTTGTTTGCTGTACCATAACATTAAAATGAATTATCAAAAAAGAAAGGCGACGAGAAAGCAATTTCAGCTTTGTAACCACAGTATTATGGAGCCGTTTGGCCTGAGCGTGTTTGGCCGATCTTGTGTGCGTCAGAGAGAGTGTTAGCCGTGTCAGAAACAGTGTTTGGCAATGAGTGTATGAGACTGTGCTGGTAACTTATCCATGAATACACACACACACACACACACTCTAAAATGATACGGCTGTAAAACACACTGCCAATGAGAAAACCGGATGGCACTGAAGAACTGAAAAGGCCAGGCGCTTAGTGTATTGGTTGTATTTACAAGAAAACACAATATATTTTAAGCACCATCAAAAAACAAAAGAAATCAAAATATTATAAACAAGCAAACATTAAAAAATTTCATTAAACAAGCAATGGCAGAAACGGATTAGATTTATTCTAGACTAGTTATTCACATTTCAGCAGGGTTCCCAATTTAATTATTCCAGTTGAGCACTGAATTTGTATTATTTTATTTTTTTTACATTTCTGAAAGCCAGCTAATAATAATCTGTAGAAATAATAGTTTTAAACAACCTTATTAGTGTACAAATGTCTCTGAAAAGCACAAAAATCAGTCTGAGATTTAAATGCAGTTTGATAGGATTTCCATACAGAGCATAACCAGAGATTATAAATTCAATACATAAATTTGCATTATTTTTAAAATGAGTTTTTCATGTCTACAACGACCGTGGGAACCCAGAGTCTGAAGTGTAATTTCGTCCCTGGCTGCAGAACACAGTGTTTATACGTGTGCTGGATGTGATGATGATTATGGGTGGGTGTCACCTTACCCTGCATTCTGACCCCTCTTAAATAAACACGTTCAAGTATCAGTAGCTGTAGGACAGAGAAAGAGAGCGTAACCCACTGACCTGGCATGTGGATGAAGTAGGCCAGGTACAGGTCCAGCTCCTTGACGGACACCCCGATGTGGTGTGGCTGCACACACAGGGTGTGGTTTGAGCACTGCGGGGACTTGACCAGCCTCTCTCCGTCTGTGCTCTCCAGCGGGCTCCCCTTGAACAGGATCACCATCACCAGGTCCAGGCGCCAGACCTTGTCGGCTTGCCGCAGGCAATCGATGCGCCGGATCTTGCCCTTCTGGTCGGGGTTGGACAGCACGCAGCACGGCTGCTTCTTCCCCGTGATGGTGAGCACGAAGTCCTCGCGAAACTCCGGCCGGATGTCCTTGCGCAATTTGGCCAGCAGCCGCGACGCCCACTTCTGCTTGATCTCGGGCTTCTCGCCCAGGAGTTCGTCTTTGACGGCGCGCTCCTCGTCCTTGGACATGCGCTTCTCGTGCTTTTTGAAGTACTTGCGCTTGCGGGCCTGCAGGTTGAACCAGGTGTAGGAGAAAGCCCGTACGTGCGGGAGGAGAGCCTCGATGAAGGGATGGAATTCATCCTGGAGGGATGGAGAGAGGGAGGGAGAGACGGGAAGCAGGGGAGTGGAGAGGAGGGAAGGGGAGAAGACGTTAGAATTGCGGAGCATGAGCCGAACGAGAGCAGGTTTGGCTCAGCGACGCTCTGCCAAAGGAAGGTACGGGAAACGTATGAGTGCGTGTTTGTGAGGATTATAAACACACACACACACACACACAAACATCCGTCATAAGCATCACATAAATACAAAAACTGCAACGCTGATTTAGATTTAACAAGAATTCCTAACAAAGTATGTAATAAAACTGTAGACATTCCATTAAGAAAATGTTTACTAAATTGTAACCTCACTTTTTTCCTTCTAATCTACATTTCTCTTTTTTTTTTACACTGACATTGTTGGCTTTCAAGAGATCCTTTTCTCAGTTCAAAACAGACAATGATGTTTTTGAGGGACAGGCGTAAAGAGTCCGCAACAGCTGCTCACTGTCGCCTGTGCCAAACCGCACAACCAACCCCTGCGACCGCACGTCCTGATCCAAACTACATCGCCACACGGACACAGAACGCCACAGACAAAACACACAAGACATGCAGCAAAACAGCAAAATAAAATAGTTACCATTCTGCACTTTCATCATAAACTCTGCCAGCCGATATGGAGTGGAAAAACAAGTCAAATGTCTTCTTGGCACTCAACTCGACACTACATGCCCCGATTATTAGTAGGTATATATATATTTGTTGTTGCACAAAATTATAAAGGTAAAGAATTTAAAAGTAAACAAAAAATAAAAAAAATGTCCAGTCGGTTAAGAAGAAAAATTCAGAAAATCTTGGAGGAGCCAAACAGTGGCATAGCTCTGGAGATAGAAAAACAAGAAATGCAAGAGAGAAATATTTAATACACAAACCAGAGAGGGGGAAATGCAAAGGGAAAAAAAAGTTAGCAAAAAAAAAAAAAAAAAAAAAAATGGGGATTTTGCCAGTCACCAAAAACGAAAATAAAACATACAAATTACATATGAAACCAGGAAGGCGGACAACGAAACTGCTCGTAATCAAAAAGTATTGTACTCACTGTTAGAGAAAAAACATACACAAATAAATACACAAATACCGCAACAAAGAGAAAAAATGTTTGGCAAAGCAGTAAGTGGTGTTTGTTCAGATATGCGTGCTCTGCATTCGACTCACAGAGAGCGAGAGATAGACAGAGAATGGGAGATAGACAGAGAGAAAGAGAGAGAGACAGAGAGGGGGGTAGAGAGGAGCGAATGGAGAGCGCAAAAAAAAAAACGAGAGAACCAAATCAATGTTGGAAGAGCGCGTACGACCGCTGGCAAACCCGATAGAAGCTTCTTTTTTTCCCCTTTTTCCTCTCCAACTCTATCTCTCTCTTCCTCTCCATGCTCGTTTCCTATCCATTGCCTCAGAGTGTGCCAGCGCGAAGCTGAGCCCACCTATTTGGCACCGGGTGCCCGATCGCTCAGCCAATACGCACGCTTGAAGGGCTGAATGGGAGGGAGGGAGGGACGGAGGGAGGGTGAAAGAGAGGGGGGTGGGGGGTGGGGGAGTGTAGGGTTCGGTCATTGGGTTGGCTCCTTACTTTGCCAAATTAACAAGTTCCTATCTTGTGCAACTGCAAAGTCCAGAGCACATTCATTTTACATGCGCCAATCAGCGGCGCCGCCCGTATTCCATTCCCACCCCAATTTACCTCCATTTTCCCCCTCTTGTCCTCAAGAATTGCACTCAGATGCACACATGCACTTTTGCCATTTTCACCAATACACTTGCCATCTCCTCCATCGAGCGAGGGAGCGCACAGCAGTGTCCCCGTTTGCCCCGTCCCCTCCCTCCATTGAGCGGCGTGTGAACGAGCGGGCCAGAACTCCCAGCAGACGCTACAGACCAGCAGCTGCCTTTAGACTCGCCACACAAACAAAGAGCAAAGACAGACATAGTCACCAGCAGAACAACACTCTCTCTCTCTCTCTCTCTCTCTCTCTAAACTTCTTCCGAAGACATGTCAGCATCAGATGCAAACATTTTGACACAATAAACAGAGAGGTTTATTAAAAAAAAAAAAAAATTATCACCACTGGTATTTCCTATCTTAAAGATTTTACTATAAAAAAAATTTATTCTGTATTTCTTTACAGAAAATAATGAATCCCCAATTTCCTTATAATGCATAATCCAAAGAGTTGACACATTCTGCTTACAAGACAGCAACACCATAGCAGCACTCAACAATTAACTTGTCTTACAGAATTTCTATGAGTCCAACCACAAAAAAATTATTTTATTAAAGTATATGTATACACACACACACACACACATATATATATATACTGTATATATATATATATATAACAAAGTATTCTTTACCAAATATAATATAAATGCAAAATAATAGCCAGACGATTAAAAATATATCTTCATTTATTATTAAATAATAATTTAAATTTACAATAATAGTTGGAAATTATACAGCTTTAATGAAATGTTTGTTTATAAGTCCATAAACATCTTTTGCAGGAACACAACGACATACTTTATCTTATTATTTTCAACCCATTCTAGCTCATGAGTCCAAGACAGTTGCAAATCAGTCTCTCGATTTCAACATCCTCATATACGTTAGACAGCTAAATTTACCACGTTTGCATATTTAAATCAGCAGGATTTGCAACAACAATATTCACTACATCACTGAAAACCAAATATATGAGTTTGCACGACACATGCACGAAGATCAACGAACACCAGACGTAATGACAACACTGCATTAGTCACAACATCAACCGGCCTGAAACTCTAGCCCTGAGCCACAGCACACGAAACATTCAGTGATTAAATCCTGCATTACACTATACAGTATACAACATATTAAAGGAATTCTCCCTGTTCCCAATGATCCGTTATGATCCATGGAAATCGCTAGCTTGGGCAGATTCACATATCAAGTGATTTAATCTGGTTTACCTTCAATGATTTTATGAAACATATGCCACTCTTTCATGGCTACGCGACACCTTAGGGCAACCATCAGGCCTACCCGAGACCACCGGGTGAAGAAGCCTCGGCTATAAACGCAGCGTTGCATAATTCCAATCCAAATTAAAGGAAAGTTTTACACAATTCATATCAGTTGACTGTGTACAGAACAAGGTGTCTTGGTATTTTGTTTTACATACATTTTATAGGCAAAACCGGAATCATTTTGCATGTTGTTGCACTACGTATCTGATTTAGTTTGACTGACAACATGGATTGTTTGTGTCTGACACATTTATTTCCATTAAATAATTTACATTATGTCTCCAAACAAAGAGTTTGAAAAGTGTCTGCATTAAACAGCCTAGGGGGAAAAGGTGTCAGTAACAAGTTCATTGCTCTTGCTTGAATTATTGGTTGAACGATTGCATCAAATCTGGCATAATTTTGGATGTAGCAAACTCGACAGCATGAACTTTGTGTTGTTATCATGCGTTTAAATTAGTATGCAAGCCATAAACGGCGTATAAAACGGAGTTTGCTCATGTTCCCAAGAAAGCTAGCTGGATTTGTTCATTGCCGAATGACCTTATTTAAACTATTTTATACCGCAGCCTATCTTATCTTTGTATGACACTCTCCTCTCTAAACAGCGCCCTTTGTTTTATCCAAGAAAAAAGAAGAGCGCTAGAGGAAGATAACAAAAGTTTGAGAAAGAGAGGAAGACAAAAAAAGCAAGATTTCTACGAAAGGCTGTCTCGCTCTGCTGCGTACTGCTTGTGTGTTTTTGTCTGTATAGCAAGGCCTATTTCTTCTAGAGAAAAAGGCTGAGATTGTGAAAAGAAAACTCGCCAGCACACACTCACACACACTATTTACAGAATCTGTGCTGAAATTGCCTGTTACTTATTACACCACACATGAAGTATACACAAAAAAGTTATGTGCCTAGCACATTTATGACTTTTGTTTAAATCTAATTTCTACTTCAGTCCAAATGACTGATGTTTTGGGCTTTTTGTAACTGGGGGCTCATCAAATGTCCATTACCATTTTTAAAGGTTTTAGTTTGTATGATTGACCAGTGTAGCCAACATAGGCTACAATAACACTCACATTTTTTTTGTAAGGGTGTAAGTTTGGCCCACCTCACTGGCTTACACAGAAAGGCTTAGTTATAAACGTATGATTCAAAAGTAGCCTACCTTTTTTTATTTTTTAGAACATAACACCGACCGAAAGAAATACAATTCTGGACGAAATTCAAGGCCAATTACGACCAAAAAAATGGTTCCTTGTGCATAGAGTCTTACAGTAGGCTACCATACCTTTGGTCGTCACTCAGTCTGTTCTTTTACGATTAACCTATTTTATTCTTTTCCATTTCTTTAACTTTATTTGTCTTCTTTAAAGGCCTACAACGACAACGTAGCTATAAACCGCTAACGGTTTTTTTTTTAAATCGCGTTGGCGGGAGCTCGAGCTCCATCATATTGGCGCGAGACAGGAAAAAAAGGCTGCGGATGGAGCGGAGAAGAAGACACTCGCCCGGCTGATGCGCGAGAGCTGATGGGTGGATCTGACATGAATTATAGGAAATGTAGTTAAAAAAATATAGGCTATATATATATATATATATATATATATATATATATATATATATATATATATATATATATATATATATATATATATATATATATATATATATTCCCCCAAAATATAATAAAACTTTATTACCATGAGTTTAGGGAGTAGGCTAGCCTATGTAAGGAGAAAAGAGCAGGAGAAAAGAGCACTTCCCCAGAGATTTTATATTGACTATTTAAAATAAACCTAGCAGAACACCATCATAATACCATTCTTAACGTACAAGAATGAAAAAATAAAATGCGAAATCGAATACACCAACAAAGAAAACATGCCAACAAAATATTTCCGTGAATTATCCAGCTGAAAATCGTATCAATTGGGAGCATCCATAGCCAAATAAATAAATGATTAAAATAGTATTATTTT